TTTTTTTTGTCAATTTTCAAGATAGTTTACTTACTCTATCTTTTAAAGAAATATTCTACCAGAATTTATATATCTTATGTTGTTCGTTACAGTTAAAAAGATTATTTTGTTATAGCAATGAAATAATTATAACTAACACCAATAGCCTATCCATCGTGTCCAAGATGTCTGAACTAAATTTAAAATTATTAGTTTTTGGGATTTTTATCACCAAATCAAAATAATTTTCAAAATTACTACGGTGATTAAATATTTTTTCAATTAGAATTCATTCTAAATGCAAATAATGGATGGAAACCCCTCCACTTTAAATAACCTGTTCCTATACATTTGATATTTCTTTTTATAAAATACCAACATTGTACATATATACATACCAATGTCCAATAAAAAAATTAACGGTGATTATGGTTATAAGTTTTTTTAAAATAAATTATAACCTATCACCTATGTGCAAGTCTATAAAACTTTTCTAGTTTTTATTTATCCTGAACCAACATTTATTTCGAGGTATTTTTTCAAAACATTATAGAATCATTATAGAAGACAAATTGTAATCAATTTTATTCTACTTAAAAATTGATATCTATTGAATAGAATGATATAATTAAAAATCTATATAGGTACACTACAGGTACCTACATAGATTTTCGATGTAATCAACTAGGAATTTGGTGCAAATTGCACCATTCAATGTGCAAACAGTAAACATAGCTATTAATATATAACATCCCAAATAATTTATAAATGTATATAATTATTAATAATATCCATTGGTTTCCCGATGAATAATTATTGTATTAAATTTTAATATTCGATATTTTAATAATTAAAATATCGAAAGACTCGATAATATCGAGTCGATATATTGGTTAGGTTGTATCGGTTGTTGTATGTCTCGATATATCGTTGACATTCCTAATCACCACTCATAGAATAATAAAACGAGATATCACTACGAACTAGTTGTTACATCGAGGCAGTGGGCGTGGTTACGACTTGCCGCAATGACCGAGCGGCGGTAAGACGCACAACACCGTTTCTCGAGCGTCGTACACGTTTCATTTCTACTGTGACGCCATCTTAGCGAATAGCTGTCTACAAAATTGACCAAAAAGCGGTTCGGACGTTCAGTGTTTTTATCTCACTTAAACTGGTATGATTTATTAATATTACTAATATTATTACTATAAATAATAAAAATAATATAATATAAATATTTTATTAGGTATATCAATATGAATTCACGCAATATTCAAGTATTTACGGTCATATTACTTGTTGTGATTGCCGTGCCGTGTATGCAGGCCAAGCCATGCTCCTTCGAGTCATTTAAAGGTACGTACGAAAAAAATGGATAGTCGTTTTTGGTTCATGAAAAAAAAAAAAAAAACAAGTATAATAATATTTTTAACAACACGTCCAAAAGGATGTGTAATATAATTCCACGTGGGTTAGAAAATTTTTAATTTGCATAATTTAGGATTTTTATACCTACCCTTATCTTAGATTAGTGCGAATTTCGGGGGAATTTTTTTTCTCTTTAATACGGTTGATAGAAATTTAAAATTATTAGGTTCTACTTTTTCAATAAATACGATAATTAGTTACTAGTATTAAGTATTTCATATAAATCTCGAACAATTATTGTTGTTCAAAATTTATTCTTACATTTTCTTAAATCTAAATCACTTATCTGTAAATAAAAATCATATCTAACTTATAAAAGTAAAACATATTTATTTTCTCTTAGTTTCATAGAAAAATTAAATTGTCCTATACCATTAATTTCAATGTTATCTATAGTAATGTGTATACTGAATAGCTTGTGTTGTAAAACATATTTAACATTTATTTGCTTTGATTATCTCCTGTGTGAATAATGAGATAATACCAAAAGTGTATTATTGTACTGATAAAAATTATAATCATATTCAAATTAAATTATTTTCTTTTAATCTCATAAATAAGCTATAGTGACACATCCATCACCAGTATCAGCTCTTTTTTTTATGTAAATAAAACCATTACTATTATTTTGTTTAATATTGATTTCAGTATGGTTGTTTACCAGATATCTTATTAAAATATAAATATTGTATTTATAGTATAAATATTAAAGAATTTTTCAATATATCTGATTAGTTTTCTTAATAATGAGAAAATCTTATAAAAAATAAAAGGAACGGGATTGTTTACATAAACTGTCACAAATTTAAAAATAATATTGGTTTCAAGAAAAAAGTATTTTTTCAGTGAATCAAAAATAAACAGTATTATACAAAGTAATAAAATACTTTTATTTGAATAATTTACTACACTGTANATACTCATAGTATCTACTTTTATAGAAATTAATTTGTTCTTTTTATAAATTAGTGATAAAGGAACTGTTTAATAAATTACTGGATGTAATTCAAACAGTTCAAACAGAGCACCAACAATTTCTCACAACCACAAAACCAATACCAAGCACACCATTGGAGGAACCAGAGGAACACATGCTTCAGGGTCCCTTCAGCTCATCACCCAGTACATCCGAAATTGATGAGATGTATGAGATAGATAGATCCCAGGATCCGAGAATCTAATTAAAATTATAATCAACATACATACAATGAAATTTTGTATACTACAATTTTAATTTCAATATTACGATGACAAAGTATCATTCAAGAAAGTCAATTTTTAAGCAAATCATAATTTTCATATTGTAAATTTAATTACACTAACGATAATTATACTTATAATTTTAGAAATATTTGTATTAAATTGTTTTTCTGAAATTGTTTACATAAATCATTATCACCTTCAATTGAATTAGGATTAAATTGACCGCCTAAAAATATTTCATTTATTAATCCTTTATTAAATACCATTA